AAAATTAAAAAAAAAGTTATGCGATCGGAGGTTATATATGCATATTAGGATTCATGGAAGGAATCCCTGAGGTGGTCACCAAGCAGTGTACACAGGTATATATGCCACACTCTGAACACAAACTACCCTTTAGAGCTTTCCCTGTAGCTCACCATGTGCACCACCAGCCAAGCTCCATTCACCCCATGGTGAACAGAACTCCACTCATACAGAACCCAGGACGACTCCAAAGTAGTTTTGCAATTAAATCAAAATTTAAAACAGGCGGATCAACAATGAAATTTACTTTGGCAAATGTATATAACACCTCCAGAGTCTCAAAGGGTCATAAAGAGTAGTCAGAGATCATTCCAAAATATATTTTTAGTAGACTGACCCTGTCTGCTTTAAGTCACATCAGCTAAAATTTTAATTACGGGCAAAAAGGAAAAACAACAAAATGACGCAGTCTGTAAGTAGCGTTAAAAACAGTCGTTTTTCCACTATCCCCTCCATTAAGTTATTATTGGTTGATCTTCCCAGTACATTTTTTCCCTCACACTTCCTGTAAAATAGGGGGTCTTTCTAAGTTGTGCAGCTGCATAGTCACCTTGTGGACAGGGTAGTTCTACCTAAACTTGTAATAGACTATAAAAGGATAAGTTCACCTTTCCTTAAAAGAAAGAAAAGAGAAGAAAAAAAAAAAAAAAACACCACCACACACCTTTTGCTGTCAGTGGGGCACAGCAGATATTAAACTGCGCAACTTTGTAAAATGTTCCCTTTTTCAGTCATACCTGCAAGGCCTTTTTGAATCCCCCCTCCCCCACAGTCAACAAACCCCAGATCCTGCATATTGCTAGGATGTAAAAACTTTTCACTTGTAATGCTGGTAGTGATCGTCCAATGAACATTTTATAAAGCTAAGTGTGCTTAGCCTTTAAGTAAATGACAAAAAAAGTTAAAGCCCAAGAACACCAGTTAGCCCTTTTTAGGCATTTAAAACAGATTGTTCTCCTTGGATAAAGGGTTTTACCATACAAATAAAAATAAAATATGGTCATTGTAATCATCCCCACCACTGTAATATGGTTTCTCCCAACCCCTGTAATGGCTACTTTTGATAGACAGCTTTGCCCATTACAGGAAATGGAAAAATTGCATTCATTGGCAAGAACAACAGGTACTAAAATGTTACAGGGGAGATTGTCATTACCATGAACACAGCAAGTTTGCGGCTTACAGACTACATCATAGGTCATTTTTATATTGCCCAAACTTACACTTTAAAGAATGTAAAACTACAAGAATATAAAAAAGGGTTAGTTCATCTTTCCATTTTTTCTGTAAAAAGGTGATCTAATACTGGTCACCCTCCCCACCTCCTGGTCCCTGCTGTACTTACCTCTGGGGTTGCTGAGCTGCCAGCAACCTGCAGCCGGTCCAGTCAACCAGGGATATGAAATCCCCACTCTTCTCTGTGCAGCGTTTCCAGGACAGGACAGGACAGATCAATACATTGACGGTGCTGACCAATCAGAATCAATCTAGTCTGTCCCAGAAGCAATGCATGGAGAAAAGGGGAGAAAAGTGGGGGGGATCTCAAATCCCCAGACCACTGGAGCGGCTGCAGGGGTAACACTGAAGTACACGGGGACCAGGGTACGGACTAGTGTTAGTCCTCCTTTTACAGAAACAAAAATGTAAAAAAGGGTGAACAATAAGTACAGAATCATCAAAAGCAACCTTGCATAAAAAATACAATATAAAAATAATAATCAGGACCCACTTGAATTAAAAAAAACACACACACACACACACACACACACACACACACACACACACACACACACTTGAAAAATCAAGACCCATGGTCTATACTTCCAGCTGCAGACCTCAGATGAAGAACAGGCTGAAGTTCCTCTGGCTAGGTCCTTCCATCACCGCATGTGTTTCTGCTGGCTGGAATGTAGGCAAGTAGGTGACTGACCAATGTACATTAACCATAAACACTCCTCTGGCACCAAGCAGCAATGTAAGCAATGAGTGGAGGAGTCCCCTAAATGTAATCAATAATTCTGGCTGGGGGTCCACTTTAAACCTTACACCTAGTAATGACCTAGCTAGTCATTTGCTTAACTACAGGTTTTGTTTAAACAAACACAAAAATGGATAAGACCGTGACACTTTTTATTTTCATAAAAGAGCATTAGTTAAAAAAAAAAATAAATAAATACAAAAAAAAAAAAAAAATATTAAAAACAAAAGCGCCACTTGGTTATTCAACTAAAAAACATAAAAACGGTTTGTATTGGCATCATTGTCCAGTTGTGCATTTATCTTGGTCACTTATTTGTATCTCTAATGCTCGCTATCAATTTCCACAGCTCATTCACTCTATACATATCGTTTCTCATTCCAGGCACCTCCTCTTCATCACATTAGCGAACCATGACTATAAATAAAACCCCTGATAAAAAAAAAAAACATACACTGACTACATAATTATCTCATCACCAACAGAATTTGGCTGCCTGGCTATGTCTCCCATGTGTCTACATCAACCCGTAAGGCAGAACTGGAGTTAAAAAAAAAAAAAAAAAAAAGTTTTTTTTTTTGTTTGCTTTAAACCTAAAACGGAAAGTCACTTAAAGTGATCTTTTAAATGGAAATCAAATCGTCAAAATCCAGTATTTAGGAATCTTCTGCTTCCATGTCCATGTTAAAAAGAACAGCTTCAGTTAATTATTGCCTCTTCTTCAGTCTCGGTTCTGAAAAGAAGATAGGTGATGTCAGGTAATGTGGGCAGAAAAAAGCAACCATATGAGACAAACATTCTATGGCAGGAATGGGCGAAGCACAAATACGGATTGAATATTTGGAAAATCCAATATGTTTTAGATTCCCAATATGCCCTGGAATAAAGTAAACCAAGTCCACAATTAAATACAGAAACATGTTATGTAAAACCAGTCACACACATTTTGTGACTGCGTATAGCAATGGAAAATTCAGGAATGCCTGGAGAGTATGCAGATTCACAATCTTTGATTTGCAGCAAATTTGTTTAATTAGATATATCCAAACCAGTCCCCCAAATACTTATAGTAAATATAGTAGATCAAACTAGGGAAGAAGTCCTCTTCTGCAACAAATGTTATGATTAAATGCAATATAAATATCCCTAAAAACTGCATAAAGTGATGTAAGAGCCCTTAAAAGCTGAAAACAAAACCTCCTTTTAAGAAAAAAAAATAAATGCACGTTTTGCAAAAAAAAAAAAAAAAAAGTGCTTTTTTTTAATAAAAATGCAGGAGCCTGGAAAGTTCGAGATCTGTGGATCAGGGGTCCAACGTCAGGCTCCTGTAGACAAGCCCTGCAGCTTTCAGCCCATCCCTTCTTCATAAAGCTAAAATGAATTGTAAATGAACTAAAAGATTGCTCATCAGCGGCCTTGCAGTCCATTCAGAACAAGCTGTCAAGTGCAATGGCTGATGGTAGTTGTAGTTCATTCAGTCATAGGATACTGTGAATGAATGAGGCAGCCATGTGGGTGGTTTTTGAATTGTGACAGTGGGTGATAGGAGAAGAGCCTTTGCCTGCTGTCACAATGCATGTGGTATTGGAGGGGGGGGGGCATGGAAGAGGCTGCGGGAGCTGGAACATGGTCGACCCTATATATGGATAGAACATGTAACATGTTCCAAAAGCAAACTCAACCCTTAACCTGTTCCTGCCGACTGGGCACATACATGTGAGGCTATTGGCAGGTGGGCTTTAACCCTGAGAGGCTGCATATATGCGGCCCTATGTAAACACTTTTCTGTGCTGAGAGCATGTGCTCTGTGCGCTCCCAGGACACCAGCGCGGGGGGCGGAACGTTCCAGATGCATTCTAGCGATTGGGAGTTTTTGAATCATGTGACAGCCAATCACAGTGGTCACATGACTCAAATGCCTAGCTCCACCTCCTGGCACTTTAAAGCTCTTAATGTGCTGGGAAGAGTTGGCGGGAGGGGGTTAACTTTCCTAAGACATAACCGCCTTCATTTGTCCCTCACATTCTCCCCTCTTCCAGACACTGCAGCTTACAGTGGGAGGGTTTCAGCAACAGAGTCAATGCTGTCAGTGCAGACAACAGTGGGCAGGACTAGGTGTGGCCAGGTGTTGATTGACAAGCTACAGCCTTCTGAATCATCAGTGGCATACCTATAGTTCCCTTTAGTTATGTCTTTTGCTACTGAAAGATTTGGCAGCTTGGCGATTTGCTGACCTAATTTCAACCAGTGCGTTTTGCTTCAAGATTGCATGCTAGGCCATTGAAAACTATCAAAAACTATTTCTGAAAACTGGAGAGGGAAACCATAATCCACAGTGTGGTAAGGACATTGGAATGTAGGCTCCTTTGGTTTAGGACATCAATCATTGTGTTCTGAAATACTACAGAATATATTCTCCCTATATAAATATAAATAATTAACCGGAGCACAAATTTCAAACTTCAGTTTTCGGGGCGAAGGAAACTGTAAAAAAAAATGTGCTGATGAATGCTCTGGCCTATGACGTAGAAGTAATCCCTCCCAGGTAGTGGTCTCAGGAGCGGTAACATTAGAATGATCTGTCCTCTTATGTAGTAGTGATCCCACCCAGGAAATGCTCCCAGGAGCAGTACCATTGGAATGTTCTGGCCTCTTATACTGTAGTGATCCCATCCACTGATCCTTAGGAGGTGGTCTAAGGAGCAGCAGCACTGAAATGCTCTGGCCTCTAATGCCAGAATGATTGCACCCAGGAAGCGCTGTCAGGAGCAGTAGTATTGGAATGCTCTGGCCATGTCCCTGGGGCAGCTGACAGACACCTCACATCTTGATCAGATCTCTCCAATATGTGGAGGAGGTCTGATAGTGCCATCACAGCCTTACTGGTGTATACATTGGACCCATTTCATAAAAAAAAAAAAAACCCAAAAAAACCCCACTCCTCAACTGAAAGCTTATTGTTTAGGAGTAAAAATGATAATACTTACGGATTGGCACAACAACAGCATAACATGGAGCAGTTTGTTGAGCTGGCAGATCTGAATTTCCCAGAGCTGGGGGTGTCCTTACACTCAGCTATGTACTGATAGAGAGGTGAGACCCGGTCTTCTCCTGCATTCTGAAACTAATAACAGAGATGACTATTAGACCTAACCTGATAACCATCATCCAGCCCACCCAACATTTCAGTATTTACCTTGATTGTCTCATAGGCCCCAGTGATCAGAGCTATAAAGAGACTGAGCACCATGTAGATGAAGAGGCTGATGAAAGTATATAAATAAAGTTGGCTGAACATCCATACGAGGTAACTGCTGTTCTGCATCTCCGAGAAGGTAACAAACATGTCATCCCCATTTATAAGGGAGAAAAGGCACTCTGACACCATGGAGAGTGAACGGAACTACAAAATAGGAAAAAAATATATATATAAAATATACAAACACACACACACTATTACCTATAAATTGCCACCTAGCGCACGCGCACACGCACGCGCACGCACGCACGCGCGCACACACACACACACACACACACACACACTCTAGAGGGCATTAAGAAGAACTCTAGAAAGATTGTGTAGACCAAAAATACAGAATTGTTTTGTTTCCTAAATAAAACGTAATCAAGATCTTTGTGCTAGTTTGTAATGTGGGGGGGGGGGGGGGGGGTTACTGCCAATATGCATCTACAGTACTGAACCAGATAAACAGAATACTCTTCCACTGCAGATTGTTATGACATGAGAGGGTACAGAAAGGACTTGTTTTTATGAATTCCTTAACATGTGTAAGACTTACAGAAATTTGGGCTTCCGGGGTAACATGGTCTAAACAGCGGTTTCCAAGCTATGGCCATTTGATTGCCTTTACTCAGCCCTTGGGGCACGATTACTTCCACTGATAGCAACAATGGGTTAGAATTCCTCCCCAAATATAAAAATGATGTAATCCTATTCCTCTCAGTGACACAGTGACTCTCAGTGTTCTTCCATAGTCTGGCCCACCTAGTCTGAAAGACGGTAAACTAGCCCTTTGTTTAGAAAGTCCAAACGACAGAGGACACTTCTGTGAATGGTGACATGATGTGAAGGGGGGCGGGATAGTGAGGTAGTGGTGACTTTATAGGGAACAAAGGATATTACTGTGGGTGGTGATGTGCAGAAGGGGGGGGGGGGGGGGGGGGGGGGGGGGGGGGGGGGGGGGGGGGGGGGGGAAAGAGGACACTGCTTGAGGAAGACAGTGTTTTACAGTAGTCTTTTTATTGGGAGCATGATAGTAAAGTTTTGTTTTTTTAAAGGGCGCCACACCCCGAGGATCTCTGATTTCTTCCATGTTCTCCAGGTAGATCTGAACCTCTCAAAAAGGTTGCCTACCCCTGAACACTATATTCACTATTTGAAATAATATACTTGAAAGTGACCAGACCCTCAAAAGTTGGATACAGAGGTAGATAAGATATTTGGGAAAAGATTTGATTAAAAATTACATGTAAAAGTGATAACCACGCACCCAAGGGGACACAGTACATGCACCAGATTCAAAATGTTGTTCGTTATCCATTTTTGCAAACATTAAGCCTTTTTACTGCCTGTAGTTCTGCACCTTGCAAAAGGACTTCTGTGGCTAATGACAGCAATTTCTGAAAAACCCTTGGTTTTCTTTAACCCATATGATACTCAACTGTCACAAGCATGACTTTAACCAATAGCCACCCGGTCAATAGCCATTTGGCGGCCGGCAAAATGGTGTAGATTTCCAGATGGATGCCATATGGCGTACTCCCGGGCATGCGCAGTTTTCGCGCTTGCAGAGCCGCGCGATCTGTCTCCAGCCATGTACCTCGGACACGGCAAATGACAGATCTGAGTACCGGCCCCCGTTGCCGGTACCATGGGACCTGCTGTGACCAATCACTACTTTGCAAAAAGGGGTCATTTGGGGGATATCCTTTTGTTCTGACATTCTTGGACCTCAAGAAATTTGATTGGCTGTCAGTACTTCAGGATTGGTCAATTTTCAGATCTATACCATAGTTTGTGAACTCTATAACTTTCCTACAAACTAAATAATACATCCTAATTTGGGTTATTTTCACCAAAGACATGTAGCAGAATACATCTCGGCCTAAATTTATGAAGAACAATTATTTATTTGCAAACTTTTATAACAGAAACAAAGAAAAACGTGTTTTTTTTTTTCAACATTTGCGGTCTTCTTTTTTTGTTAATTTAGCAAAAAATAAAAACCCCGGCGGTGATTAAATACCACCAAAAGAAAGCTCTAGTTGTGTGAAGAAAATTATAAAATTTTAGTTTGAGTACAATGTTGTATGACCGCGCAATTGTCATTCAAACTGTGAGAGTGCTGAAACCTGAAAAATGGCCAGGGAGGGAAGGGGGTAAAAGTGCCCGGTATGGAAATGGTTAAAGCAGCCCTTCACTCATCAGATGCACTAGGCATCATTGCCCTCTTACCACTCCACAATGTAAAAACTAAAAAAAAAAAAAAATATTATAGAATATATGTTTGTAGTATACCCTGCCCCCTGGCTGTCATTCTCCCCTAGGGGCAACTGACATCCCTTGCACTTTGAAGTATGCAGGACGTGATATGCATATTCCAGGATTCCAGGATTCTTCAGGTCCCATACAGTGGCCAGAGTGGGTCAGGTTGCCTGAACCAGGAACGGACAGTGGGCTCCTGATGTCTGGATTGCAGCATGGGACACAGTGTTCAAGCAGAGAGGCAGATCACAGCTCGACAATGCTGGGTTTTCAGGCCTGGTGAGCAAGTGAATTGTGTACCAACAAAAAAAATTAACAAAACAACACCCCCCACAGTGGGGACGGAGGTTGGAAAAAAAACAAAAAAAAACCCACGCGTATTTTCCTAGCTAAAACATCAGAAATCAAAAAAAAAAAAAAAAAAAAAACACCACCCAAAAAATTACGATATATGGGCCAACCCTTTTTTGATTGAAGATATAAATAATGAAAGGATTATTAGCTGGTTGAAGTGGATTACTTCAGGTTTATACAAATGAACGAGGAAGGACAACCAAAGGACAATAAGGAACAGAACAATACTGGCCATCATGAAGGGAGTTGGGGATGCAGAAACAGACCAAATGATTGATGGCAGGGCTTGAAAAAGCCGCTTGCCCAATGTGAGGGGAAATCCTGGTGTGGCGAGCAGAGATGGAGCGGCTGCACCTGTACTCCAAACCTTATTGTGAAGCCGAGTTCCGGTTTCCAACTTCTTCTTCGGCACTGCCATTACACTGGCAGCACCGCTGAGGGAAAAAGGTGCAGGAGAGGTCCGCTCTCCCCCACCGCGGGGAACACGAGACATATTATATATAAAAGAGACATAATATCATACCTAATATAGAATTATATACACAAGGATATAAAAGAAACATTATATATAATTCTGTAAACTAAAACACATCTTTTAAAAAGAGACTTTAGTTACTAAAGTCTTTTTAAAGATGCAGGAGATAAACAAAAAAAAATACAAAATGTTTACTACAGGTTTAAAGCTGTAAAAGTTGATATTTTGATTGCACCCTATTGCTATTAAGCTATTGCGGTTATGTTTAAATTGACATAATAAAACTGTTATAATTGCATTTTTTTAGATTTTGGACTCTTTATTCTAAAGGAAAATGTAATTTAGAAAAGCTTTAAGGGGGCGTGGTTGGGGGCGGAACTGGGCAAGGTTGGGTGGGGTAACTGGTGGAGAGTAAGGTTTGTGCCTGGCTAGTAGGTCTAGACTTGAATATTTAAGCCCCGATTGATGGCATCTACTTACCTTGACATGGTAGGGTCCCAGTACAATCCAGCCACAGAAGCAATACCCGAGGTAAATGACAGCAGCACAACAACAAAACCGGATGACATTAGGAAGAGCCACTCGGAGTGTAACAATCAGAATCTGCAGATGACAAGTACAATGCCTAAGTGACAAATCAACACAAGGATGACATTGTATGAAAGTCACAGACTTTAAAAATCCTATGGGATACACTGTCATATTCCCTGTTGAGTATCAATTAGTTTCATTTTTCAAGAAAAAAAATTAACATTTTTAGCTCCTTCAAACACTTCCAGAAGTATTGCAGGTGCCAAAGCTTGCTGCAAAAGCAGTGTCACATGAAGGTGTACATTCATCCACCTGAGCACCACTGATATCATGTGGGAGTGGAAGCAAGCAGAAAGCTATGAAGGAGACAGAGCCTCCAACATTTCTAGAAGTGCCTGAAGTGGTGCAGAGCTCAACTGACTGAAAAAATATATTGATGCTAAAAGAGGAAGCTTTAGTAAAGTGCCTACCTTTACTAAACCTCAGTGTATACTTTGGTGACAAGGTCTCTTTAAAGTGTCACTAAACCCAGGACCCTGCATTCACTATATCCGGTCTCCCCGGACCCTGCATTCACTATATCCGGTCTCCCCGGACCCTGCATTCACTATATCCGGTCTCCCCGGACCCTGCATTCACTATATCCGGTCTCCCCGGACCCTGCATTCACTATATCTGGTCTCCCACAGTACACACAACATGGGAATGCAATTACTTTAGTAAAAATAAACACTAACTAACCTTTTCTCATCAGCAGTTAGAGCAGTTTTGTGACTTCTATCAGTGTCCAGCAGGGCACTGGTTAAAGCTTGTAGAAGGAGTTTATTTGCTCTAGGAGGATGCAGAACCCCTGACCTCTGTCTGGACAGTGCTGATCACATGCACTCTCCCAAGAAAGGAAAAAAAAAAACCCACCCTCTCTACGCATGCTCAGTTTAGTGTGTATTGCTAGCGACTTCACACAAAATGTCTTATCAGAAGATAAGAGGGGGACACTGGAAGAAGGGGAGGATCAGAGAAGTCAAGATCAAATAGCCTTTTTGCACAATGCACAGGATTAACCCCTTAAATTCCACAGTGAGTATAACAAGCATGCTTTACTGCATATACAGACTGATTTTACTGGTGTGGGTTTAGTAACACTTTAAAGCATGTAAAAGGCACATATTTTTTTTTTTTTTACACTTTTGGCTAAAGTATGGTTCTTTATTGTTGTCCCTCTGACATCCACCCATCAAGGTATTTTGATATTTTCATAACTCCTCCAAAGACCCAGCCCACTAACTTGCATCAGGGCTGAGGGCTCCAGAGAAGAGTACTGAGGCAGAGTGCTGTGATGTTTCATCAGGAAGCTACTGTATGTACAGCACTCTGGCAGCACCTCCAACCAGCCATGATCTGCCTGCACAGCACAAAGTAGTAAAGAGACCCAGTGATGACATCACTGGGTCCAACAGAGGTATGTAATAAAAACAGTTTTTTTTTTTTACTCCTTTAAAATATAAGCTGTTTAAACTTCAGCTTTAATTTTCCAAAAGTGGTGGCTGCAGCAGCCTTTCCCCTTTTCCCATCTGCATAAGCTGTACCAATAGTCAACCTTTATGCCACTTGCGCCTCTAACCATTCAAACTTGACAGACAGAATGGTTAGCAAAGAGGCCGTAATACTACATACAAAATAGCTGCCCTATGAAGGATCTGTTAACATTATACTCACATTATACTTTTGGAAGAAGCTCAAGTACCGGATCACCCCTACCCAAACCAGCAAGGTGGAGGTGCCTAGAAGAATGCTGCAGACATCATAACTGGCAAATGTCTTAAAAAAAGAAAAAAAAAAAAAAAAAAAAAAGTTATGGAAATCATAAAACAGGATTTGTTCATTTGTGTGTAAAGCAGCAGAAAGCAAATGCTGACATTCTAGGTCTAAAACCCCTTCAACAAAACCACATAACATTTGTGCACATGTATGAACAACCAAATCATATACAGTATGTGCAATGTATGGCTCAGAGGGCAGTAAATCCTAAAAGTTATTGGCCAGATCCCTCGCATATGCTTGCTGAGGATTATTGAGAAGTTAAACAGACCTATGCAGCCCCACACACACATCACATAAAAACTACATCAAGAGATAGTCTTTAGCATAGGGCAGGGGTGGGCAACTGTGGCCAACTATGGCCCTCCAGCTGTTGTCAGCCTTTCTATGCCTCATGGGACATGTAGATCCATGACAGCTGGAGGGCCACAGTTGCACAAGGAGATTGAACTGTTATGTTACAGAGACAATAACAGGGCATTGCTGAAAATAGCTTGAAAAAACTTCATATTGAATGGGCTTTTCTGGTGAATGGATATTTGCAGTGTACAAATGTGATGTAATAGATTTTAGTTGCAACTGTGTTATCCCGACTGCTCAACCTTTCCATTAACACACCCTACTTCGGACCTCAGATCAGCATGCGACCTTAACCATGAGTCAGGCCAGCAGCCTTCCCACGCTCCATGTGCGTGGGACATGCAGTACCGCCCATGAGTGCCCTTTTCTTGATGGTCCCAAAACACAGAAGCAGTTTCCTAGTAGACTCAAAAAATATAGCCAACTTCTCCATTAAGGTCTATGGAGAAAAGGCCACACACTCCACAGGCTCAGTGAAGGACAGGAGCACCTCCCAGCATATGCTGTGGTTGGTCAAGGTCTCTGCTTATTTGAGGTCGGGCCTATGAACAGCACAGTTAGAGCTATAAAGCAAACCAGCAAAATAAGTGAAAGCATGGCACAGAGCACAATATGCACACGCTTCCCGTTTCTTGGAACTTTTCAGCATTCTAACAGTCTGGCCCTTTCTGAGGTTACTATTGTTAAATATACATAATATATCATACTAGCCTACACATCAAACTACCCAGGTACTCAGATGTCCTCACAAACTTTCAAACAAACAAAGCAGTTAACAGGGAGATGGAAGAGAACGACTTTCTGATCCAGAAGGGATTCCATACAGGTCTTGATTCAGTGGTTCAGTACAGATAACAGTAAGGAGAGGAATTTACAATCCAGTTGCCCTTTAAAAAAAAGGAGGTGAAGAGGATTTGCCAAAAAAGTTTACCTTTGACTCTATCCCAATCTTCAACACAGTTCCGGATATCGTGAGAATGTCACTAATGATAAGCAGCAGGTACCAGCCATTTATAAACTCTAGCCGCTCAGATACAGAGACTCTGAGAGCGTGACGGGAACTTACAAAATTTGCAAATTCCTAGAGAGAGAATAAAAAAATAAATGCATGCAACTGAAAAGTTAACCTACTGTCTGAGCAGATCTATACACTGCATAAGCAAAGACTAAGGTAGGGCCACCATATCAAAAATTGTCATATGAACCAAGTAAAAAAAAATAATGTGTTAAAAAAAAAAAAAAGGAAAAAAAGGAGTACAAAGAAGCTTTTTAAAACTAGAAAATGTAGTAAAGCACAAACTATGAAGAAAAATTAAATCCATGCACACAGGGTTCGGTGATGTAATATTGGAGAAGGCTAAGCAAATATAGGGACATTGATATGGAGCAATCAATACTAGGTCAGGAAAGCAGTTTCCTCCCTCATTGATGCAGTAATGGTACAGAGTTGGGGGGGGGGGGGGGGGTGAGAAAGGAGGAGAAGATGTCTGGGAACTTACAAAAGGATATTACAAAGAAGAAGTAAACACAGTAAGAAACTATAGAATGAAGAACAGATTACAAGGCTATTAAAATAGTGGGTGTGTATGGATTATTTTTGGAAAATAAAAAAGGTCTCATTTTGATCATAAACTGCAATAAATCAAGCTGCCAGAAGGGAAACTGTGGCGCAAACTCATCTTTAAAAGTTCAGACCAGAAGCAGTGAAGCCTTGAAGCAACCCTCCAAGCACGTTGGATCACCCTGCCCAGCCTCCCTCCTAGCAGCTTAGCTCAACAATAACTCAAGAGGCCTGTCAACAAACTAATAACAAAGCAGAAATTCTGGGGGGGGGGGGGGGGGGGGGGGGAGGGGTGCAGGGTGAGCTACGTTACAAAAAAAGGGTCTGCACTTCTGTTGTGCCAGTTAAGGACGAAATGTACCAGAGCACATGTAGCTACAGAGGTCAGCAGTGGCTTGTTGTAATTCACATTTACAGCTTAAGAATATGCAAACACTTGAAAAGTCTACAACCTGGCCACAGAATTACTTTAGGCAAAAATATTACATCAAACCTAAACTCACGTTTTGCAATCTCAGGCCCCGTAGGATGGAGCGTCCACATAGGATTAGGGATAGGACACAAGAAAGGATCACAATTACATCAAACGCCAACCGAGAGTGGTTGTCACCTGGTGGAAGAGACGAATAGCTGAGTATGGAATCTGTAAGATGCCAGTGCTCTGCACCCCATGCTGTGGCGCCTTCCTCTCACGCTCCCCGCTGTGGCGCCCCTTCCTCTCACGCTCCCCGCTGTGGCGCCCCTTCCTCTCACGCTCCCCGCTGTGGCGCCCCTTCCTCTCACGCTCCCCGCTGTGGCCCCTTCCTCTCACGCTCCCCGCTGTGGCCCCTTCCTCTCACGCTCCCCGCTTCTTGCTATGGCCCCTTCCTCTCATGCTCCCTGCTTCTTGCTATGGCCCCTTCCTCTCATGCTCCCTGCTTCTTGCTATGGCCTCTTCCTCTCATGCTCCCTGCTATGCTCATTACTGTGGAACCTTTTCCTCTAAAAGCTATGTCGCTGCTGAGTCCTGGAGGGGGTCAGCAGAAGGAAACATGGCATGCAACAGAGAAGTCTGCAGTCCTGAGGAAGACATGGGTCCCATAGAGGAAGAGCTCCTCTCTTACAGGGACCTGAAAGGGTGTCTTTAAAAAAAAAACTACCATTTTTAAAGATTACTTAAGACTGTCCCAGTTACATAATTCTGTTGCAGACTGGTCAAACAATGGTTTAATCTTTCCTAGCATTAGGTAATCCAATCTAAAAACCAAAAGAATTCCTAGTTGTGATGTAACGTTTCCTCAACTCATCCCCTGGTTTCCTTTAGGCATATCCAAAGGCCTTTTTTTTTTTTTTTTTTTTTTTTTTTTTTTTTTTTTTTAATTTCTGTCACTACCTAAATTAAAAAAAATTTTTTTTTTTTCTAATACTTGGGAACTGGACTAGGGTCACTTCTATCTGGAAAGCAAAACTAAAGGCTTACAGTAGGGAATGCTCACCTCGACCGTACACACTGGGATCTTTGCATTCTTTAATAGTTGCGTCATTGGCTAGCTGTATTTTCACCCTGCCACTATGTGCCTGGTTATCAAATAGGATCTGTAAGGAAAAAAAAAAAAAATACATAACAGGTAATTAACATGCTCATGTCTCAGCAAGAAGGCATTAAGTGCTTATTCTTTGGTACTCACAGTGATTGCAAAGGTGTAACAGTCCGGAAGTTCATTATTAATAATTGTCTGGATATTTATAGCCTTTAACTGAAACTGTACCGTGATGTTTATCAGTCTGAGAGGAGGGAAAAAACAAAAAACACACACAATCAAGGGCTAGTTTTAATTCTCTAACATGCATATTAAAAAAAAAAAAAAAAAAAAAAAAAAAAAAAAACACACACCACACACTTCTTTTGTATTTTCTTCAGTTTTGAGAGGCCCAGAGATCATGTGATCACAATGTCAACAAAGTGGTTATGAATGAATCTCATTCATAGCAGCTCTGCTTCTTATACTAGTGAGTTGTGATTGGCCCACATCTATCACATGGTACAGCACCCTGCACCATGTGATTAGATGTAGCAAAAAATCAGAAATCACTAGTAAATCAAAGTTATGAATGAAACTCATGACAGTTGAAAGCATTGTGTTACAATGATCTTTGTTAACAGCAATCAAAGTGTTTAAATAAACAAAAAAAAAACTACAAAAAAAAAAAAAACAAAAAACACATCCCTGATAAACACCCCCCCCCCACACCCAAAATGCAGTGTTACCATGGTGACACTGAACTACTCTGATGAAAAAAAAATTATATATATATATATATATATATATATATATATATATATATATATATATATATATATATATATTTATTTATTATAGAATGCATTTACAAATTTACACTTTTTTTTTTTTTAAATAAATCAATCATACGGCGTCAGTCAGTGTCCCCGATTACACCACACCAGTCATCTGAAGACTCCAATGCGATGGTGACAGCATGTAAAAATTTTATAAATATTTTGTGTGTGTATGTTTAACCAAAAGACATGTAGCAGAATACATTTTGCCCTAAAAATATGAAAAAATTTGATAATTCTATTGAAAAGGTTTTAAAAACAGATTTAAAAAAAATAAATAAATACATTTTCGGTCTTTTTTCCCCATTTATATAATAAAAATAAAATCCCAGTGGTGATCAAATACCACCAAAAGAAAGCTATTTGTAGGGCCCTCTGTTTCCTCTTGTACCAAAAATTGTAAATCGCTGCAAACACTGTTGGCGCTATATCAATCCTGTATAATAATCTGTGTGAAAAAAAAAAAATATATATATAAAAATGTAATTTGCGTGCAGTATTGCATGACCGAGCAATTGCCAGTTCAAATAGCACAGTACTGAATAGCAAAAAATGGCCTGGTCATGAAAAGGGTACAACCTTTCAGAGCTCAAAGTGGTTACTGTCTAACTAACCTTCAAAAAAAACGGAGACTGGAGAACAAATATCGGGCTAATGTTATTAATGCAGCATATCATGTGACTAAGAAAAATACTGAGTTACACTTACTTGTGAAACTTTATGATAAAATTTCTGTAGCTCTGACTGAGGTCATCGGGATCTGTGTATATACAATCTGAAGGGGGGGAGAAAAAACAAAAAACAAAAAGGCAGCATAATTGTATCAGAGACCTATTTAGCTAGTTCAGCTCTCACACCTGTACACTCCCTATGGGCCAGTGCAATTTTTAAAGACTGTTTAATAGCCGATAACTTAGTCGTTATTCAAGATAACAAAGCAATAAAGTAATTTTGTTCATCAGAAACAAGGCTTTCATATCATATATTCATTTAATAATCTAATAAGGATTAGAAAAATAAAAAAATCAGCAGGAAAATGATTAATGAGGGAAGGAGAAGGAGGAGTTAAATTAGGATGGATTAGGGTGAATTAAGGGTTCATTTATATAATTTTTTTTTTTTTTATTAAGCCGCATGCACTCAGGGCACTTTTGCAGCCAAGTTTAGGGGCATCAGGCGTGTTTTTTTTTTTTTTTTCACTGCTTGTAAACGGCCCTCCATGTTCTCCTATGTGTCCACAGATGTGAATCTAGCCTAAAATTGACACCCAGGAATTGCCAGCATATACAACGGAAAAACAGATAGGGCATACCACACATCCTGTGTATTTCAATTAAGTTTTTGTGGGCATGTGTAGCATTGCCCAGTGTCCACAGCTGGTTATTCCACATATACTGTATAATTACAACAAAATCCTCAGACTATAGTTTTCTTTCAGAAAAAATATGGATGCCGTTAGGGACCACTATACAATTTCCTCCAGGAATAGCCCTGCTATGTATACAGCCTTCTTGTGTTGTGGGGCCTTTCTTTGGCTTCCAATGAATTACAGTCCAGACACATGATGGTGGTTGAAGCAGCTACAACTCAAAATTGTTCTGTGTGTTTGTTAATTGTTCTTAAGCCTGAAGCGTTTGACCCTGAATTTTACATTGTGTTGTAGACACGAACGACAGTAAAACACTCTTGTTCAGAATCATAGTAGGGCTTAACTTCCCTAGCGGTCTGATTATGTCAGTATTTCTGTGCTCAAAGTGGCACATGGTTTTCAATGGAAATATGTAGTTTTTTTTATTGTAGACCTGTAATTTTTAGGAATAACTCACTGAAATCTGTCCGAACAAGAGTCTAGTAAACATCCCAGGTATGATAAAATTTTAAACACAAAATCATAAATTATAATATAAAATAATCATAAAAAATATAATACATTTAATTCAATAAAGTAATCAAACCAAAAGCACTACAATTTGAAATATAGCGCCAAGTTCACACATCACTGAGCTTAGTCGCAGAATCGTTTTCAGTGCCCAGATATGAATTTCCCCACGAATCATTATCACTCAATTCTGCAAGTGGTTCTGATTTACTATCGCTGTTCTCTAGCCGGTCTAAAACCGCTTTTGACCTAAAGGGATGCTTTTTGGGCGCCATGGACATTTCTCAGTTTCCAGGCAGAAAGAACAGTAAAAATGCAGGCACAGGGCAAAATGTATGTGAAATTGTTGGATACAGTAATGTTTTACTATGTGATTTTAGTGTATTGAGTGAATGTCACTTAAAATTTTTGAATTTCCTGCTGGTTACGCCCCCCATATGTCCCGACGCTTGCAGGGACCGAAACCCGGAAGACTGATGCTGGCATCGGCCGGAGGACATGGCTGGGGATGCTGCAGGGGGAACATCGCGGGAGCACAGGACAAGGCAAGTGCAAGAGGGATCCCTGAGCAACGCTGCAGGGTAATCCCGAGTGTAGCTCGGGGTTACCACTTTTGGTACTGAAAGTTTACCCCAAGCTACACTCGGGAATACCGCCACGGAGGTTAAAGGGTTTACCTTTTCAGGAAAAAAAAAAAAAAATTAAAACACTTTAACCACTTTAGTTCCGCACTATAAACTGAAAGATGGCTACAGAGTGGTTCTCTTGTTTTGGGAGGGCATCTATAGATGTCCTCCCAGAACACTGTGGCACTTTGACTGCTGTGTCCTTTGGACAAAGCTGATCACAGATCGTGGTAAAGGGCCAATCACAGCAGCCCTTTACCATGTGATCAGCTGTATCCAATCACAGCTGATCACATGTAAACAGACTTGCCAGTTATCAGCAGTCTTTTCCTCATACGCTGGAGACAGCCGATACCCGGCAAAGTGGTCAGTGATTTGTTTATACTGGTAATCCATGCCCATCAGTGCAGCCTCATCAGCACCCATCAGTGAAGAAGAAAAATAATTTGCTAAATTTTATAACAGAAACAAAGAAAAAAGTGTTCGTTTTTATCTTTTGGTCAGTATTTTTTTTTGTTAGCAAAAAGATAAAAAACCCACTAGCGATCAAATACTACCAAAAGAAATCTGTATAAAAAAAAAAAAAACAAAAACATTTCATATGAGTACAGTGTTGCATGACCACACAATTGTCATTCAAATGCAACAGAGTTGAAAGCTGAAAATTGGCCTAGGCAGGAAGGGGGTGAAAGTGCCCGGTATTGAATTGGTTACATAATGAAGCTTAGTTAGAACAGATATAAAGCGGAACTCCAAGTAGGTATAAAAATACATGTATAAGTTGATAATAGAGCGCTGGGAACGTAGGAATAAAGCAGCTAGCATAAAAGGTAACCTTGGGACCCAAATGAGAACATGTAAATAAGATATGCAGCGCTAATAAAGTTAATAGGAACAAGTGGAAAATTAGAACATGAATAGCATAATAACATGTGAAAGAACTCAGTCCATATCGCATGGTGAGATAAAGTGATAGGTGCAATTGTCCAAATAATCCATGTTCAGAGATAATCGTGACTCTTGTGATTGTACAAATATTGCACTAACCAGATAGCGTAAGAGATGCGCATGGAGCAATTAAGACCCGCTCCTGGTGCTCTGGACTTGTGATATTAGGAGGATGTCATCTGCAGGTTGGCCACCAGATGTCATCAATCCAGGTATATTCGTAAGTCATCCACCAGAAAGATAATCAGCGGGGGAGGGGGTGATCACACACACATCATTCCCAACCAAACGGAACCTTCAAAAGCGGGCTCCCATACAATAGATGAGACCCAGAGAAGCTTCTGATAGTGTAGTATTGTCCTCCTAATATTGTCAACCCCCCTAAGCCTCTTACATTTGGTTTCCTCAACACCAAGGGATTTTTTCCTTGCAATAAATGTATGTTATGCACCTTTAATGGCATTCACAAAAGATCTGTGAAAACTTTTAGCTCGAACATAACTGGTCAATCCTATGACATACAATCGACTATTACCTGCTACAGTTCCCATGTAGTATATCTCCTGAGTTGTACCTGTGGTAAGCAATATGTAGGACGAACGACGAGGAGATTGAGAGACAGGTTGTGTGAGCACCTATCTAACATCAAAAAAGGTTTTAAGGATCACTCACTGTCCATGCACTTTCGCCAACATCATAACAGGAACCCACATGCACTAAAATTCACAGGCATTGACATTGTTAATAAGAATTGGAGAGGCACACATAAGAGAAGAGCCGTTTCAATGCTAGAAACGAAGTGGATTTTTTTGTTACACACCCAAGCACCACAAGGGCTAAACGTAGAGCTAGATGTAAACTGCTTCATCGATACCAGCTAATTTATTACTGTCAAGGTGTTCTATACGGGTGGCTTATACATTCGATCACTATACTAGTCGATTATTCATACGCAAACTATCTTAGTAGGGGACAGGCTTTTTGGATTGCTACCAGTCTCTGATATATTTTCTTTCACGATTTTTATGTTCATTTTCACATTTATTTTTATTCATCCAAATTTTAAAGAGGTTACTTTTTCCTACCTTTTTAGCTTTATATAAGGTTGTTTTATCATATGAATATATTTAACTATCTGCATCCATTCGTTTGGGGAGATTTGGAAACGCTAATCTGTTATGGTTCATAGTACTGTTTTTAGTGACCAGTATTAACCTATTTATTTGCTATGGATTGTTCTGATTGGATATCCAATCCAATTTTTGATTTCATTATGAATATATTTTCTGGCAATGGTGGGAAGACCATTTCATTACATGTATATTACACATTAATGCCAGCGGAATATTGTTCCTATTAATCATGTAGTGATATAGGTTGAGTGGCATGTTGGAGTAAACACCCTAACCATCCACCAGATGTCACTACCCTTAATCTCCATTAGTCTATGTTTATAGCATTTATATAATTTATATACACTTTTATTTCCATATATTTTATGCTTTTAATGTCCTAAGCTCACCCTCAATAAAATGCATTGTGAGCTTATGGTTAAAGGGAGTAGAGAGAATCCTCGGTGCTCCTGATGCGGGGCGTCTGCTCAGGAGGCTTTTCAGTATGTGTACACTGTGGCACCAACAAAATGGCAACCGCGAACGCTCACTGCGCATTCGCGAATGCCTTCCCTAGTTATGAACTCTTGGAAAATGGCCGCGAGCGCTCACTGCGCATGCGCGAAAGTTTGATTTCCGTCTATGTACTCAAATCACTGGGAAAATGGCCGCTAAGTCACTAGTGCGCATGCGCGAACCGGAATCGGCGACGCGGGAATGCACAATTGCGCGCCAATTACAACTCTATATAAGCACAATCATTTACCATGGGCACACTCCCTCTGAGGAAGTGTTATTCACACGAAACGCGTTAGAAAGGTGCCCCTGACCTGTGTACCCATACCACAAGGCTATCCTGACTGACACCCTGGTGGCCAGACTCTTTTTTGGATGCAAGTTTATCCTTAAACTGTACGTGCTATATGTTTTGCTTATTAAAGATATACTACACTATCAGAAGCTTCTCTGGGTCTCATCTATTGTATGGGAGCCCGCTTTTGAAGGTTCCGTTTGGTTGGGAATGATGTGTGATCACCCCCTCCCCCGCTGATGATCTTTCTGGTGGATGACTTACGAATATACCTGGATTGATGACATCTGGTGGCCAACCTGCAGATGACATCCTCCTAATATCACAAGTCCAGAGCACCAGGAGCGGGTCTTAATTGCTCCATGCGCATCTCTTGCGCTATCTGGTTAGTGCAATATTTGTACAATCACGAGATCACAAGAGTCACGATTATCTCTGAACATGGATTATTTGGACAATTGCACCTATCACTTTATCTCACCATGCGATATGGACTGAGTTCTTTCACATATGTTATTATGCTAGTCATGTTCTAATTTTCCACTTGTTCCTATTAACTTTATTAGCGCTGCATATCTTATTTACAGGTATAAAAATACACATTCTAAAATCATAAAATTAAAAAAATGTTTCAAATGTAGCCATGGTATGTACTTGAAATCAGCCTTTTGCAATCTCCTATACAGCAGCACTCAGACTGGAAGAGGGAGAAGCAGGATTGGGGTCAATCAGGAATGCTGCATGCAGATGTACTAACAACAAACTTGGTGGTGATAGGAGAGAGTAGAATCATGACCTCATCAGTCTGCTGCTGCTACTTTACTGTCAAGCTATCAAGTCTAGGAGTGGGAAGACAACACCACCATTGACCTCTACCTTGCAGTGTTGTGTGGCAGAGATGTGTTAATCTCAGCATTGGATAGACAGGAATACAAAATTAGACAGGTCACTAGGCTCCCTTTTTTTGTTATTTAATCTGTGTATTTTGAATTTCTTTTGCCTGACGGTTAACTTATGTAGGGGGGAAAAAAATTAACTTGCAGGGAAATCCGCTCAGTGCAAATGCACAAAATGTCAATGACACTATTGCCAGTTTCTAGGGTCATACAATGCTGTAGACAAGCCAAGCCAGTTAACAGCTAGCACTAACTGCCAAATGTAATCAAAGGCCCCTTTTGCTGCAACTTGCTTGCCTATCGCTACTGCTTACCACCTGAACAGACACAAAAAAAAAAAAAAAAAAAAAAAACATTTACCCGTTATGACTTTTGGATCAATATTGAAGGTATCATTGGCAGGATCAATGTGGCCCTTGCGATAATACTGCTGGCAGACAGAAAGTGCCGATTTATTGAAGGGTCGAACGTAAGCATAGCGAGCCGTGGTTTGGTTAGGCAGGGAGTGGTACTGTTTGTGGAGAAAAAAAAAAAAAAAAAAGGAAAAAAAAAGCTGTATAAATATATGCAATGGTTTACATATAAGATGTACAATACAGGTATGTTTTATGAATATAAAAAAAAAAAAAAAAAAAAAAAAAAAAAAAGGGATGTGGATGGTAACCAGACACTTTCAAGGCAATTAGAATACCACTTTGGCATGCGGTCGGTTTTGAAAACACAAGGAAGTTAGCTTGCAATTTTAGAGTAAAAGGTTGCAAAAGGGAATATTGTACAAAAAAAAAAAAAAAAAACGAAATTTGTTTGTCCCTTTGGAATGTATTATTTAGAACAGTGGTTCTCAACCTGTGGGTCACAACCCCTTTGGGGGGGGGGGGTTTGAACGATCCTTTCACAGGGGTCGCCTAAGACCATCGGAAAACACATATTTCCGATGTGTAAAGAGCAGCTACCAGGGGCGGACTGACCATTTGGAAACTCGAGCCTTGCCTGAGGTCAGTAGGGGGCCCCATGAGATGCTCCTGGTACCTTTTTCATAGGCTTTTTTGAGTTTGGGCAAGGACACAGGGGCCCCATGACCCCCTATTGCCCGGGGGCCGCATGAGTTGTCAGTCCGCCCCTGGCAGCTACTGTGTAGAAAGCCGGTGCTGTGTTGAAAGCAGCAGTATTGGAGGTAAAATGACACTTCATGAATTATAATTACTGGGTAAATAATTTTATGGTTGGGGGTCACCACAACATGAGGAACTGTATTAAAGGGATGCAGCATTAGGAAGTTTGAGAACCACTGATTTAGAAAGTCTAAATTAGATGTCGAAAGTTGTGTATACACTATACGAAAAGCGAACAATTGTTTCTTCTATGTAATTTTTCTTCCGATTTTCATAGTGTACCCAAAAAAAAAAAAAAAATATGCATGCCTGTGATATGTGTTATTCCAGATTATAAAACGTGGCAGTTGTGTCCACAACGTCTATTAAAAGCCCAAATTTAGCTAGCAACACAAAAATAAAAATCAGACTACTTCCTTTAGTAGTATTCCCCTGCTGTGAGGGGGGGATAATACAACTAAAAGGCTCTCACCAAAAAAGCCCACTTATGTCTGCCCTTTCTGCCAGTCATAGGAGCCCTACTACAGCTTGTGTGAATGACAAAGGATGTCAGAATGGAGAACGAGCAGATGACCGATAGCTCTGCCACCTCTATTCATAGATCTTCTAAATCTTGTGTCATTTATAGAAGCAGTAGTACAACTTTCTATGAATCGCGATTGGACGGGAAAGGACAGGTATAGTCGAGCTCACTTGATGAAAGCTTTTGACAGCCTTTTAGTTGCGACAACCCCAGTCGACCCAGAAGATTATGGGGCCAGGGAGTAGGAAAGAAAGATTAACAAAAACAAGAAGAATCAAAACACAAGGGACACATCAAACTATAAGTTATGTCCCTTGTGCTGATTTTTATGTTTGTGTTTTCATCTGCAGCAGACAGCTACCTCCCACATGACAATGCAATTATCTGTCATGCTAACCTGATCCACAGCATAGTACAGATTCTCGTAAACATCGTTCTGGGTGTAGACCGCATAGGTTTTATCCGAATCATCAGTGTAGTCCTTTAGGAAAAGATGCTTGAAAGCCACTGTGTTCTCCTCCTTAAACTGCACCACCATCTGGTTACTGAGGCCAAACAGGATTAGCTGCAATATACAGAGGAGTAATGTATGGTCACATGTGACAAAGATTGAACAAGTGTTAATAAAAAGTCTTTTTGTACACTCAAACATTGCCAAGAGAGGCGGCAGGGTGGAGTACACACAACCCTATCAAGAGCTGCAAGCTGCTTTTACGTCTATGAAGGGAAGTTATTTTGCTGTATCAGCATGAAGACACCAATCCCCTTATCTAATAAAAAAAACTAACTCTGCTTACTAAAACATAAAGGAACACTGAAAACACATCAGATCTCAATGGGGAAATATATCTACACTGATATGGACTGGCTGTTAAAAACTTAAGGATACCCCACTGTTTGATTTTCAGGGTGTCTTTAAAATTCAGTCATCTATAGGTTGATTTTCATTTCCATCAAAGAGAAAAATTATGCAGCAGGCTAGTCCATTTTGCTGAGATTTCATTGCAGCAACTGAAAACGGTATTCAGTAGTTTGTATGGCCCCCACGTGCTTGTATGCATGCCCGACATTGGAGCATGCTCCTAATGAGATGATGGATGGTGTCCTGGGGTATTTCCTCCCAGATCTGGACCAGGGCATCACTGAGCTCCTGGACAGTATGAAGTGCAACCTGGCAGCATTGGATGGACTGAAATGTGATATCGCAGAGGTGTTCTATTGGATTTAGGTCAGGCGACCGTGTGGGGGCCATTCAATGGTATCAATTCCTTCATCCTCCAGGAACTGCCTGCATACTCTTGCCACATGAGGCCGGGCGTTGTCATGCACCAGGAGGAACCCAGGACCCACTGCACCAGCGTAGGGTCTGACAATGGGACAAGGATTTCATCCCGATACCTAATGGCATTCAGGGTGCCATTCTCTAGCCTGTAGAGGTCTTTGCATCCCTCCATGGATATGCCTCCCCAGACCATCACTGACCCACCACCAAAATGGTCAAGCTGAACAATGTTACAGGCAGCATAACGTTTTCCACGGCTTCTCCAGACCCTTTCATGTCTGTCACATGTGCTCAGGGTGAACCTGCTCTAATCTGTGAAAAGTACAGGGCGTCAGTGGTGGACCTGCTAATTCTGGTGTTCAATGGCAAATGCTAACGGAGATTTATGATGCCGGGCAGTGAGCCCAGGGCCCACTAGAAGATCTTGGGCCCTCAGGCCACCCTCATGAAGTCGGTTTTTGATTGTTTGGTCAAAGACAATCACACCAGTGACCTGCTGGAGGTCATTTTATAGGGCTCTGGCAATGCTCATCCTGTTCCTCCTACTGATGGGTTAAGGGCCTTCTACAGCCCTGTCTAGCTCTCCTATAGTAACTGCCTGCCTCCTTGAATCTCCTCTATGCTCTTGAGACTGTGCTAGGAGACAGAAAACCTTCTGGCAAGGTGCCATCCTGGAGGAGTTGGACTGCCTGTGCCACAACCTCTGTAAGGTTGAGGTATCACCTCACACTACCAGTACTGACACTGATGCTAGCCAAATGCAAAACTAGTAAAAAACAGTCAGAAAAGATGAGTAGGGAAAATAAATAAATAAATAAAAGGGTCAGTGGCCTCCACCTGTAAAACCATTCCTGTTTTCAAGGTAGTCTTATTGTTGCCCATCTAGTGCACCTGTAATTTCATTAACACCAAAGCAGCTAATACTAACATCCCCCTCTGCTACTTAACTGACCAGATCAATATCCCAGGAGTTTATTGTGCTGAAAGTAAACCTTTCACCATTATCACCAAAAGCCACCTTCCAGTGTATTAACTTGCCTAATGTCCCTGTCCACTCCTGCAGGGAAATAAGGGGCCTCTGGGTATGAGGCATGCAAGTCTTCTTCACGTGCCTCCCACAATATGGCTTTATGCCAGCACCAAGCTATGTGACATTGGTGTGGGTGAAGAGGCTGCCATATCATGTGCAAATAGAGATTTTCAGAAAGCCAATATTTTAGTAGGAACTTTAGGGATCTCTGCAGCAGCTAATGGGGGCAGGAATGCTACAAGTAAAATTGTTGCCAACTTTGCAGCATTTTAATTTTGGTTTTAACACCATGGCAAAAAGTTTATATAAATGAGAGTTTCTATTGTCACACATTCTATATATAGGCTCTGCTTCTGGTTTACTATGGCTAGCCTATCAGACAAGGAAAACTTCAAATTGTATGTCATTAGAAACTGAACACATACTTACAGCAGACCTTTACACAAATGTGACAGTGCTGCTTATTCATCTCCCCATCCCCAATACCTTCTATAGCTACTGACTTTTAATTAGGGAAAAAAAAAAAAAAGAAACCCAGCCTGTTAGGTATTTCCCGAATGAATAGTGTTGCCAGCTATAGCTAGGAAAGCTCCCCGCTGTCAGAACTCAATGGCACAGCGGGAGCGATTCCCCCATCCACCGTGAATTCAACCCACTGGTAGAGCTGTGCAGGACAAGAAAATTGATTTTGTATATTTGTTCCAAATCAGTTTGTATTTTTCAGATTCATTATTAGAAGGACTTGCTTGCAACTTCAGCCAATCATAACAATACAGAGTGTGCCATATATTAATCTACAGTAGGATTACACCCCCTTTAAGAAGGGGCCCCCCAGATCCCACCTTCCCCATGGGAATGAATATGAGTGTGCTTTATTAAAAACACAAATGTCCCTAAATGTAAATTCAGTGTCAAGTCACGAACACTGGACCTGTACAAAAAAAAAAAAAAAAAAAAATCTTGCCGCCTGTCCAACACAGCCGGTCCCGTCGCTTCCCCCCACCAGCAAAGACCACCCAGTGACCATGCCCCCTATGGCTTCACTCTGAGACACACCCTCCCTCTGTGCATGACGTAATATTGGGAGTGGTCACCCAGTAATATCACTGGGTGACCCCCCATCCCCATGTTTTTACTTACCAGCCGGGGAGAAGTGGCTGTTATGCTGGATTTTTTTTTGTGCGAGTTGGCGCTCATGGTGATTGACACTGGATTTGCATTACATCAGGGACACATTTATTTTTTAATAACGGATTTAACTTTTTTTGGTGCTATATACCCCATACTCATTCACAGGGAAGGGGGGAGGGGGGTATGGTGGTGCCTGCTTGTTCCCACCCTTTCCTGGCCTGCCAGGCTAATTATCTTTTTTCCTTTTAAACTTTGGCATGGGGTTCCCCTTAAAATTCATACCAGACCCAAAAGGGAGTCCCCAAAAAGGGAGGAGGGGGTAAGACAGACACATTTGTGTAGACCAATAGTTGTTTATTTTTAGAATGGCACTGGGGTCTTTGTAGTCTAATGTAACTTATTTTACATAAAAGACCAACAAGAACAGTTCTAATGAAGCAAACAGTTAACAGTACCTGCACAGTGACCATAAAGATCTTGATAAGCTGCAGGCCCAATTTGTAGGGTTTCCTTCCCTTGGCTCTGAACTTATCACACGGACTCATGAAAAAATATTTCAGCCGACGCCGGAGCCGGACCTCCTCCGAACTGACCCCGTCACACACCGCAGAGCCATAATATGGAGATGGTGACAAGAGGCGCTGGCGTTCAGCTGCAAGCAAAAAGGTAGAATGGAGAGAAGCATGAGAAAGTAACAAGATACAGAATATCAAAATAAACACACACAGTGGATATAAAAAAGACACCTGGTAAATTGTCAGGTTTCTGTGATGTAAAATAAATGAGACAAAGACATTTCAGAACTTTTTCCACCCTTAATGTAACCTATAAACTGTACAACTAAGTTGAACAAACTGAAATCTTTTGTGGTTGCATAAGTGTGCACACCCTCTTATAACTGGGCATGTAGCTGTGTTCAGAATGAAGCAATCGCATTCAAAATCACGTTAAATAGGAGTCAGTACACACCTGCCATCATTTAAAGTGCCTCCGATTAACCTCAAATAAAGTTCTGTTGTTCTAGTAGGTCTTTCCTGACATTTTCTTAGTGGCATCCTACAGCAAAAGCCATGGTTCGCAGAGAGCTTTCAAAGCATAAGAGGGATCTCATTATTAAAAAGGTATCAGTCAGAAGAAGGGTACAAAAGAATTTCCAAGCCATTAGATATACCATGGAACACAGTGAAGAGTCATCAAGGAGGAGAAAAAAAATGGCGCAACAGTGACATTACCAAGAACTGGACGTCCCTCCAAAATTGATGAAAAGACGAGAAGAAAACTGGTCTGGGAGGCTGCCAAGAGGCCTACAACAACATTAAAGGAGCTGCAGGATTATCTGGCAAGTACTGGCTGTGTGACAAATGTGACAACAATCTCCCGTATTCTTCATATGTCTGGGCATTGAGGTAGAGTGGCAAGCCGGAAGCCTTTCAAAGAAAAACATCCAAGCTCGGCTAAATTTTCCAAAAAAAAAAAAAAAAAAACAAAAAAAAAACACCACACACATCTGAAGTCTCCCAAAAGCATGTGGGAAAATCTGTTATGGTCACCAAGGTTGAACGTTTTGTCCATAATTCCAAAAGATATGTTTGGCGCAAAAACACTGCAAATCACCAAAAGATCACCATACCCACAGTGAAGCATGATGGTGGTGGCAGCATCATGCTTTGGGGCTGTTTTTCTTCAGCTGGAACTGGGGCCTTAGTCAAGGTAGATGGAATTATGAACAGTTCCAAATACCAGTCAATATTGGCACAAAACCTTCAGGCTTCTGCTAGAAAGCTGAACATGAAGAAGAACTTCATCTTTCATGACAACGACCCAAAGCATATATCCAAAATCAACAAAGGAATGGCTTCACCAGAAGAAGATGAAAATTTTGGAATGGCCCAGCCAGAGCCCAGACCTGAATCCGATGGAAAATCTATGGGGTGATCTGCACAGGAGATTTCCTCGCAGATTTGGGGTGTTTTGCAAGGAAGAGCAGGCAAACATTGCCAAGTCAAGATGTGCCATGCAGATAGACTCATACCCAACCTTGGTTCCCATGTGGGCTGCGGTTTCCAAAGAAGTGCAGGGACTTCTTCCCTGCGAGTCACGTGAGTCAATGCAAATGAATGGGTTCTTGTGCTCGCGCAAAACGTGGCCCACACGGCCGCATACAGGTGAAACTCGAAAAATTAGAATATCGTGCAAAAGTTCATTTATTTCAGTAATGCAACTTAAAAGGTGAAACTAATATATGAGATAGACTCATTACATGCAAAGCTGTGCAGGGGAGCCCCAGCACAGCGCTCCGGGGGGGGGGGAGCCCTAGCACAGCACTCCGGGGGGGGGGAGCCCTAGCACAGCACTCCGGGGGGGGGGGAGCCCTAGCACAGCACTCCGGGGGGGGGGGGGGGAGCCCTAGCACAGCACTCCGGGGGGGGGGGGAGCCCTAGCACAGCACTCCGGGGGGGGGGAGCCCTAGCACAGCACTCCGGGGGGGGGGGGAGCCCTAGCACAGCACTCCGGGGGGGGGGGAGCCCTAGCACAGCACTCCAGGGGGGGGGGGAGCCCTAGCACAGCACTCCGGGGGGGGAGCCCTAGCACAGCACTCCGGGGGGGGGAGCCCTAGCACAGCACTCCGGGGGGGGGAGCCCTAGCACAGCACCCTAGCACAGCAGCTCCGGGGGGGGGGGAGCCCTAGCACAGCACTCCGGGGGGGGAGCCCTAGCACAGCACTCCGGGGGGGGAGCCCTAGCACAGCACTCCGGGGGGGGGGGGGGGGGGGAGCCCTAGCACAGCACTCCTCGGGGGGGGGGGAGCCCTAGCACAGCACTCCGGGGGGGGGGAGCCCTAGCACAGCACTCCGGGGGGGGGGGGGAGCCCTAGCACAGCACTCCGGGGGGGGGAGCCCTAGCACAGCACTCCGGGGGGGGGGAGCCCTAGCACAGCACTCCGGGGGGGGGGGGAGCCCTAGCACAGCACTCCGGGGGGGGGGAGCCCTAGCACAGCACTCGGGGGGGGGGGGAGCCCTAGCACAGCACTCCGGGGGGGGGGGGGGGGAGCCCTAGCACAGCACTCCGGGGGGGGGGGGGGGGCCCTAGCACAGCACATCCTCTGTAGGTGTCCACACACACATCTCTAGGAGTCCTGCAGATGGAGGGGAGGGAGGAGGTTACTACCTGAGGAAGGTTTGGGACTGTCACTCAGGCTGCGGCTCCGGTGCAGAGAGCCCATCATGGCGATGTGTTGGTGTCTCTCCGAGCGGCGTCTGTGTCATCTGCTGATCCCCGGGTCTCCCGCTCAGCCTCCGTCCCATCTGGACCAACACGCAGCCCCACCGCCGTCTGTTTCTACCTGTCAGCTGGTCTGTTGCTGCCTGATCATATGACTCCACTGGAGCACCGCCCACCAGCTGGGAGCCGCGCCTCCGATATACTTTCCTTGTCTCGGTGTTGCGCGCATGCGTCCCCTGCATAGCTGGCTGGGAAGGTGATTATTGCATCCCCGTGGTTTGTGCATCTTGAACAAAGCCATCATTCATGTTGTCATGGCGAGCTGCCAGTGTGCCCTGAGCTGTGCAGACGAGGGAACTCCTCCAGACCTCCACATTCTATCCCAGCAATGACACAGCATTGTACCCTGGCTCTGTTCACACTGGGCATCCCAGGGGCACGTGACAAAACACAAATACTGAGCGTCTTACCACACATTTCAAAAACGCGTCCACACATGCGTCTCCCTCACAGGACCTTTGTTCTTGGCACCCCGAGCCCAGGTAGCAGGCATGTGTTTATCCTGCAACACGGCAAACGCACTACAGACATGCCAAAAACACGCCGCGCTCCGGAAAAAGGTTCTCCCCTCAGTTCACACTTAGGCCTGCTTCACATCTGCGTTTGTCGGGCATTCATTGGGCTGCTGTGCCGCATGAACCGCAAAAAAAGGGTGCATGCACCTTAAAAACACATCCACAGGGAGACCGCCAGGGGCAGACTGACCATTTGGAAACTAGGGCACTGCCCGAGGGCCCGGGGTCAGTAGGGGCCCCATGAGATGCCCCTTTGTACCTTTTTCATAGGCTTTTTTGAGTTTGGGCAAGGACACAGGGGCCCTATGATCCCCTATTGCCCGGGGGCCCCATGAGTTATCAGTCCGCCCCTGGAGACCGCATGCTCTTTTTGCCCAGGCGTCAAGCAAGATCAGCACAGTTTGCCTGCGGGCGGTTGCAGGTGCGGGAATTGATGCGATTCATGAAACCGGAACGCATGATCCAGGCCTTATGTGGATTTCAGTGTATTTTCTGGTCTGTAGAAACGCACTACAATCCATGTAACATGATTTCCTATGGCTCTAGTTCACATCTCTGCGTTTTTCAGCTGCTATTATTTATTTTTTTAACGGGTCAACGACTTTTTTTCCCCACAGCAGATTGTGTTTTGTGTGCAATAGACTTCAGGGGAAAGGCACCAAAAGTGCAAGTGTTGCGTTTTTTAACCCCCCTGGAGGTATTCCCGAGTGTAGCTCGGGGTAAAGTTTCAGCACCACAAGCGGTAACCCCGAACTACACTCAGGAATACAATGCAGCGTTACTTCAGGATCTCTTCTTCACTTACCTTGTCCTGCGCTCCCGCGATGTCCCCCCTGCAGTGTCCCCGGCAATGTCCTCCGGCATCTGTCTGCTGGATTCCATTCCCTGCGATGTCAGGATGTACGGGGGACGGAACGGCGGGAAATTTGAAAATGACAAAAAGTGACATTCACTAAATACACTAAAATCCCACAGTATAACATTACTGTATCAAACCATTTCACATACATTTTGTCCCGAGTGCTTTGTCCTGTGCCCTGCCTGCATTTTTACTGTTCTTTCTGCCTGGAAACTTAGAAAAGTCCATGGCGTCCAAAAAGCGTCCCTTTAGGTCAAAAGCGGTTTTAGACCAGCTAGAGAACAGCGATAGTAAATCAGAACCACTTGCAGAATTGAGTGATAATGATTCGTGGGGAAATTCGTCATCAGACACTGAAAACGATTTTGCGACTTTGCTCAGTGATGTGCGAACTTGGCGCTATATTTCAAATTTCAATGTTTTTGGTTTGATTATATTATTGAATTAAATGTATTATTATTATATTATTATTATTTATGATTATTTATTAAATTATAATTTATGATTTCGTGTTTCAAGTTTTATCATACCCGGGATGTTTACTAGACTCTTGTTCGGACAGATTTCAGTGAGTTATTCCTAAGAATTACAGGCCTACCATAAAAAAATACATATTTCCATGCAAAATAATGGTACCGCTTTCAGCACCAAAAATCTGAAATAATCATACCGCCGAGGAGGTTAAGGTGTTTTGCATTTTTTTGTTAATCGTAACGTATTGACTTTGATGTGACTCTGATGCAACTTTGGATGGGTGTGGCTTTGATGCAACTTTGGATGGGTGTGGCTTTGATGAAACTTTGGATGGGTGTGGCTTTGATGCAACTTTGGATGGGTGTGGCTTTGGTGCAACTTTGGGTGGGTGTGGCTTTGATGCAACTTTGGATGGGTGTGGCTTTGATGCAACTTTGGATGGGTGTGGCTTTGATGAAACTTTGAATGGGTGTGGCTTTGATGCAACTTTGGATGGGTGTGGCTTTGATGAAACTTTGGATGGGTGTGGCTTTGATGCAACTTTGGATGGGTGTGGCTTTGATGGAACTTTTTTTTTTTTGGTAATAGGAGAGTATGACAGTTCTGTTCATGTAGTGCGACTTTGATACAACTTTACACTTTCTGACACTCTAGTAGCATCAAAGTTGCATCCAAGTCGCAGCCATCCAAAGTCACATCAAAGTCAATACTTTCCCATTGGCAGAAAAAAATTAAAAAAAAGCAAAACTGGACATTGATAAGAACAGGTACTACACTTGATCACTGGAAAGTGGTTGTAAACCCTAACATATACCCAGTGAAGTGACTGGCCTCAGATGATACACAGAGATGAACAGGGGCAGACTGACAACTCATAGGGCCCCCTGGCAATAGGGGATCATGGGCCCCCTGTGTCCTTGCCCAAACTCAAAAAAGCCTATGAAAAAGGTACCAGGGGCATCTCATGGGGCCCCCTACTGACCCCGGGCCCTCGGGCAGTGCCCGAGTTTCCAAATGGTCAGTCCGCCCTGGAGATGAAACAAATCCTACATATGTTGTACCTGTTTATCTATAGCTGTCTTTCGCCTACATCCATTCATGCAGAATTTACACAGGATCTCTCATCTCTGAAAAGCAGGGGGCAGAGAGCCAAAGTTAGGAGAGCTCTGGAAACTGATTGGAGGGAGGGGGCACACCCTCTTAACACAGCCCACAGGAACAGAGCTGAGGTTGTCAATCACAGGCTGTGCCATCCTCTGTCACCAATTTTCTCATGGTGTCAGGAAAACCTATCAGAAGTGATTCATGCTGATAACAGAGGAACGAGGCAGCAGAAATTACACTTAGTGCTCTGGATTGAGACAAGTACACAGTATAGAGGGATATGCTTTGCTCATATTTCATGTCTCATGTTTACAACCACTTTAAGCCTGTTACACACACACAATGAGAATATCGGACAAATGATCATCCTTTTTTTACATACTAGTCTCATATCGAAAATGAATGGGTTACTAGAGTTCCGGAAATTCTCCTACGACAGAATACAACTTCCCACAATCATGTAATGTGTTGTATTGTAATGTATTCTTTTGTTTCCGATCATGCGCAGTCTTGGTCACTTGATTTTTTTTTCTGACGAATACTGTACGGATTAGACAAAAATTGTTGTTAATTAAATTAAATTATTGGATAATCGCTCCGAATGCTTTTTTCTTAAGCCTGATTTTCTCATCATTAGGCATTAGCCAAAGGAAGCTTTGGACACGCATAGTCATCCAAAAAGGCTGACATTGTCCAGGTCAAACAGTCCTTAGTGCCCAAGTTATTGCTTCTTTCTAAATGATCAGTTATTGGCAATTACAGTTGCAAGAAAAAGTATGTGAACCCCTTGGGATTACATGGAGTTTTGCATGAATTGAGCATAAAATGTGCTCTGAACGTCATCTAAGTCACAACAATAGAAGAACACAGTCTGCTGAACATAATACTACACAAACATTAGATGTTGCCATGGTTTAATTGCACATAACATGTAAACATTCACATTGCAGGGAGGAAAAAGTATGTGAGGCCCTAGCTTAATGACTTCTCCCAGAGCTAATTGGAGCCAGGAGTGAGCCAACCTTGACTCCAATCAGTGTGATGATATTGGATGTGTTGCCGACAGCTGTCATGCCCTTAAAAAACACACACCTGTTTTGGGTTTACTGGTTTCAAGAAGCACTGTCTGATATGAACCATGCCTCGCAGAAAAGAACTCTCAGAAGACCTACGATCAAGAATTGTTGACTTGCATGAAGCTGGAAAGGGTTACAAAAGTATCTCCAAAAGCCTTGATGTTCATGTGTCCACGATAAGACAGACTGTCTACAAATGGAGAAAGTTTAGCACTGTTGCTACTCTCCCTAGGCATGGTCGTCCTGTAAAAATGATTGCAAGAGCACAGTGCAGAATGCTGCATGAGGTAAAGAAGAATCCCAGAGTGTCAGCTAAAGACCTACAGAAATCTCTGGCACATGCTAACATTTTTGTTGACACATCTACAATAAGGAAAACATTAAACAAGAATGGAGTACATGGGAGGACACCACGGAGGAAGCCATTGCTGTCCAAAAAGAATATTGCAGTTTGCAAAAGAGCACCTGGATGTTCCACAGCACTACTGGCAAAATATACTGTGCACAGATGAAACCAAGATTGAGTTGTTTGGGAAGAACACACAACACTGTGTGTGAAGAAAAAAAGGCACAGCACACCAACATCAAAACCTCATCCCCACTGTAAAACATGGCGGAGGGAGCATCATGGTTTGGGACTGCTTTGCTGCCTCAGGGCCTGGACGGATTGTTGTCATTGATGGGAAAATGAATTCCAGAGTTTATCAAGACATTTTGCAGGAAAACGTACGGCCATCTGTCCGCCAACTGAAGCTCCGCAGAGGATGGGTGATGCAACAGGACAATGACCCAAAACATACAAGTAATTCAACAAAACAATGGCTGCAACAGCACAGAATACGCCTTCTGGAGTGGCCCAGTCAGAGTCCTGACCTCAACCCCATTGAAATGCTGTGGCATGACCTTAAGAGAGCGATTCACACCAGACATCCCAAGAATATTGCTACACTGAAACAGTTTTGTGAAGAGGAGTGGTCCAAAATTACTCCAGATCATTGTGCAGGTCTGATCTGCAACTACAGGAAAGGTTTGGTTGAGGTTATTGCTGCCAAAGGAGGGTCAACCAGTTATTAAGTCCAAAGGTTCACATACTTTTTCCTCCCTGCACTGTGAATGTTTACATGTTATGTGCAATTAAAAAATGGCAACATCTAATGTTTGTGTAGTATTATGTTCAGCAGACTGTGTTCTTCTATTGTTGTGACTTAAATGACGTTCAGATCACATTTTATGCCCAATTCATGCAAAACTCCACGTAATCCCAAGGGGTTCACATACTTTTTCTTGCAACTGTAGTGATGATCAGTAACATTCACAATGCCTGTTTACTGGGGGCCAATAGCTTTGTTAAACAACAGCCTGTATTGTGATAAGATGTTGTGGCTCTGGTCTTTAATCTACTTATGAAGACCACAAGAGGAGGTTATCTTCCCTAGGGCAAACAAGACAACTGGAAGGTACAGGTTTGGGCTGATGTGAAATTGATTTCAAATAGAATAGATAATGTTTAAAACCCCTGTCCTTTTATGTCATCTGTATCTCACTGGAGATACACTATATTGCCAAAGGTATTGGTCAACCTGCCTTTATACACACATGAACTTCAATGGCATCCCAGCCTTAGCCCTTCAGGGTCAATATTGAGTTGGCCCACCCTTTGCAGCTATAACAGCTTCAACTCTTTTAGAAAGGCTGTCCACAAGGTTTAGGAGGGTGTCTATGGGAATGTTGACCATTGCTCCAGAAGCGCATTTGTGAGGTCAGGCACCGATGTCGGATGAGAAGGCCTGGATCACAGTCTGTGCTCTAATTCATCCCAAAGGTGTTCTATTGGGTTGAGGTCAGGACTGTGTGCAGGCCAGTCAAGTTCCTCCACCCCAAACTGGCTCCTCCATGTCTTGTCATTGACCTTGCTTTCTGCACTGGTGTGCAGTCATGTTGGAACCGGAAGGGGCCATCCTCAAACTGTTCCCTCAAAGTTGGGAGCATGAAATTGTCCAAAATGTCTTGGCATGCTGACGCCTTAAGAGTTCCCTTCACTGGAAGAGGCCAAGCCCAACCCCTGAAAAACAACTGAACACCATAATCCCCCCTCCACCAAACTTTACACTTGGCAATATGCAGTCGGGCAAGTACCGTTCTGGCAACCGCCAAACCCAGACACATCCATCAGAATGCCAGACAGAGAGCACATCTCCACTGCTCTAGAGTCCAGTGGTGGCTTGCTTTACACCACTGCACCTTATGCTTTGCATTGCACTTGGTGATGTAAGGCTTGGATGCAGCTGCTCGGCCATGGAAACCCATTCTATGAAGCTCTCTATGCACTGTTGCTGTGCTAACTTGAAGGCCACACGAAGTTTGGAGGTCTTTAGCTATTGACTCTGCAGACAGTCGGCGACTTCTGCACACTCTGCCCTTCAGCATGCGCTGACACCGCTGTGTCATTTTACGTGGCCTACCACTTTGTGGCTGAGTTGCTGTTGTTCCCAGTTGCTTCCACGTTTTTATAATACCACTAACAGCTGATTGTGGAATGTTTAGTAGCAAGGAAATTTCATGGATGGACTTATTGCACAGGTGGCAACCTATCACGGTACCACGGTTGAATTCACTGAGCTCCTGAAAGTGACCCATTCTTTCACAAATGTTAGTAGAAGCAGTCTGCATGCCTAGGGGCTTGATTTTATACACCTTAGGCTATGGAGGTGATTGTAACACCTGAATCCAATGATTTAGAGGGGTGTCCCAATACTTTTGGCAATATAGTGTACTTTGAGCTAGAATACTAAGTAATGTACATTACAGATGTCCAGTAGAGGGACACATTTACACATTTTTAAGAACAGTAAAACAAATATGAAACAATAAGGCCTCATACACACCGCAACTCAAAACTGCCTGTTTTACAAGCGTTTGATTTTTTTTTTTCCTCTCTGGCTCTAATGGCCCCTCCATGTTAGCCTATGTCTATGTACACATAGGTATTTACAGGCATTTAGAAACAGATTTAGAGATAGAAAAAAAAAAACATAACTTTTGTGTACTGAAGAGGAACATTTAGGCTGCAAACACAAGTTTGGCGTTAATGCATTCTATTGTCCAGAAAAATAATTATTATTATTATTTATTTCAGGTACTTACAGTCAGCTCCATAAATATTGGGACATCGACACAATTCTAACATTTTTGGCTCTATACACCACCACAATGGATTTGAAATGAAACGAACAAGATGTGCTTTAACTGCAGACTGTCAGTTTTAATTTGAGGGTATTTACATCCAAATCAGGTGAACGGTGTAGGAATTACAACAGTTTGCATATGTGCCTCCCACTTGTTAAGGTACCAAAAGTAATGGGACAGCATAATAATCATAAATCAAACTATCACTTTTTAATACTTGGTTGAAAATCCTTTGCAGTCAATTACAGCCTGAAGTCTGGAACGCATAGACATCACCAGAAACTGGGTTTCATCCCTGGAGATGCTCTGCCAGGCCTCTACTGCAACTGTCTTCAGTTCCTGCTTGTTCTTGGGGCATTTTCCCTTCAGTTTTGTCTTCAGCAAGTGAAATGCATGCTCAATCAGATTCAGGTCAGGTGATGGACTTGGCCATTGCATAACATTCCACTTCTTTCCATTAAAAAACTCTTTGGTTGCTTTTGCAGTCTGCTTTGGGTCATTGTCCATCTGCACTGTGAAGCGGCGTCCAATGAGTTCTGAAGCATTTGGCTGAATATGAGCAGATAATATTGCCCGAAACACTTCAGAATTCATCCTGCTGCTTTTGTCAGCAGTCACATCATCAATAAATACAAGAGAACCAGTTCCATTGGCAGCCATACATGCCCACGCCATGACACTACCACCACCATGCTTCACTGATGAGGTGGTATGCTTAGGATCATGAGCAGTTCCTTTCCTTCTCCATACACTTCTCTTCCCATCACTCTGGTACAAGTTGATCTTGGTCTCATCTGTCCATAGGATGTTGTTCCAGAACTGTGAAGGCTTTTTTAGATGTCGTTTGGCAAACTCTAATCTGGCCTTCCTGTTTTTGAGGCTCACCAATGGTTTACATCTTGTGGTGAACCCTCTGTATTCACTCTGGGGAAGTCTTCTCTTGATTGTTGACTTTGACACACATACACCTACCTCCTGGAGAGTGTTCTTGATCTGGCCAACTGTTGTGAAGGGTGCTTTCTTCACCAGGGAAAGAATTCTTCGGTCATCCACCACAGTTGTTTTCCGTGGTCTTCCGGGTCTTTTGGTGTTGCTGAGCTCACCGGTGCGTTCCTTCTTTTTAAGAATGTTCCAAACAGTTGTTTTGGCCACGCCTAATGTTTTTGCTATCTCTCTGATGGGTTTGTTTTGTTTTTTCAGCCTAATGATGGCTTGCTTCACTGATAGTGACAGCTCTTTGGATCTCATCTTGAGAGTTGACAGCAACAGATTCCAAATGCAAATAGCACACTTGAAATGAACTCTGGACCTTTTATCTGCTCATTGTAATTGGGATAATGAGGGAATAACACACACCTGGCCATGGAGCAGCTGAAAAGCCAATTGTCCCATTACTTTTGGTCCCTTAAAAAGTGGGAGGCACACATGCAAACTGTTGTAATTCCTACACCGTTCACCTGATTTGGATGTAAATACCCTCAAATTAAAGCTGACAGTCTGCAGTTAAAGCACATCTTGTTCGTTTCATTTTAAATCCATTGTGGTGGTGTATAGAGCCAAAAATGTTAGAATTGTGTCGATGTCCCAATATTTATGGACCTGACTGTATATAGCTCCATCAATTTACGCAGCACTTTACATATATATATGTATATTGTATATTCATATCAGTCCCTAACCCTAAAGGGGTATACAATCTAAAGTCCCTAACTTACATTCATACATACACATACTAGGGACAATTTAGAGATATCCAATTAACCTACTAGCATGTCTTTGTAGTGTGGGAGGAAACCAAGGTACCTGGAGGAAACCCACACAGACACAGGGAGAACATGCAAACTCCATGCAGGTGGTGCCATGGTTGGGTTTTGAACCAACGACCCCAGTACTGGCAGGTGGAATTGCTAACCATTTAGCCACTATTCTGGCCATCACAATGTATTAATGTGTGAACCTGCATAAATGTGCATGCAAAAATGCGGATTTTACCGTGTTTTTTCCACATACTTTTCTCCTAGGCGTCCCTTTTGGAGTACAGTGTGCATGGAGGCTAAATGTGAGGGTCACTTCAGAAATGACATTCAGATTAATTTTGGCATTATAATTAGAGATGAGCGAATCGAACATGGCGAAGTGGAATTCGTTTCGAAGATCAGGAAAAATTCGATTCGCGCCGAATCCGAAAATTAGCAAACTTCGGATGCACGAATCGAATTTTCCCAAAAATGGCGGCGACATGTGTGGCGACGGAGCGGGGATCTCTGGGAAGGCGCGCAGACAAGGCGCGCTGACCCATAATGCATTCATTCATGACATGTGATCGCATTAGCCAATCAGCAGCCAGCCAGCCAGCACTGTGTAATGGTGGAGCTATAAATTGCGGCCATCTTAGAATTCTCCATTAGCCTCCGGTCATTCAAGAGAGACAGACCTGTCTGTATTAGGGACAGAGTTAGGGCCACAGAGACTTTAGGGCCACAGAATCGTTACTCAGGGACACAGAATCGTTACTCAGGGACACAGAATCGTTACTCAGGGGCACAGAATTGTTACTCAGGGACACAGAATTGTTACTCAGGGACACAGAATTGTTACTCAGGGACAGACACAGAATTGTTACTCAGGGACACAGAATTGTTACTCAGGGACACAGAATCGTTACTCAGGGACACAGAATTGTTACTCAGGGACACAGAATCGTTACTCAGGGACACAGAATTGTTACTCAGGGACACAGAATTGTTACTGAGGGACACAGAATCGTTACTCAGGGACACAGAAATCGTTACTCAGGGACACAGAATTGTTACTCAGGGACACAGAATCGTTACTCAGGGGGACACAGAATTGTTACTCAGGGACACAGAATTGTTACTGAGGGACACAGAATCGTTACTGAGGGACACAGAATTGTTACTCAGGGACACAGAATTGTTACTCAGGGACACAGAATCGTTACTGAGAGACACAGAATCGTTACTCAGGGACACAGAATCGTTACTCAGGGACACAGAATCGTTACTCAGGGACACAGAATTGTTACTCAGGGACACAGAATTGTTACTCAGGGACACAGAATCGTTACTCAGGGACAGACACAGAATTGTTACTCAGGGACACAGAATTGTTACTCAGGGACACAGAATTGTTACTCAGGGACACAGAATTGTTACTCAGGGACACAGAATCGTTACTCAGGGACACAGAATTGTTACTCAGGGACACAGAATTGTTACTCAGGGACACAGAATTGTTACTCAGGGACACAGAATTGTTACTGAGGGACACAGAATCGTTACTCAGGGACACAGATAATTGTTACTCAGGGACACAGAATTGTTAATCAGGGACACACAGAATTGTTACTCAGGGACACAGAATTGTTACTGAGGGAACACAGAATCGTTACTCAGGGACACAGAATCGTTACTCAGGGACACAGAATTGTTACTCAGGGACACAGAATCGTTACTGAGGGACACAGAATTGTTACTCAGGGACACAGAATCGTTACTCAGGGACACAGAATCGTTACTGAGGGACACAGAATCGTTACTCAGGGACACAGAATCGTTACTCAGGGACACAGAATCGTTACTCAGGGACACAGAATTGTTACTCAGGGACACAGAATCGTTACTCAGGGACACAGAATCGTTACTCAGGGACACAGAATCGTTACTCAGGGACACAGAATTGTTACTCAGGGACACAGAATCGTTACTGAGGGACACAGAATTGTTACTCAGGGACACAGAATCGTTACTCAGGGACACAGAATCGTTACTGAGGGACACAGAATCGTTACTCAGGGACACAGAATCGTTACTCAGGGACACAGAATCGTTACTCAGGGACACACAATTGTTACTCAGGGACACAGAATCGTTACTCAGGGACACAGAATTGTTACTCAGGGACACAGAATCGTTACTGAGGGACACAGAATCATTACTCAGGGACACAGAATCGTTACTCAGGGACACAGAATTGTTACTGAGGGACACAGAATTGTTACTCGGGGACACAGAATTGTTACTCAGGGACACAGAATCGTTACTGAGAGACACAGAATCGTTACTCAGGGACACAGAATCGTTACTCAGGGACACAGAATTGTTACTCAGGGACACAGAATCGTTACTCAGGGACACAGAATTGTTACTCAGGGACACAGAATTGTTACTCAGGGACACAGAATCGTTACTCAGGGACACAGAATTGTTACTCAGGGACACACAGAATTGTTACTCGGGGACACAGAATTGTTACTCAGGGACACAGAATCGTTACTTTCTGCTTCACAACCACTATTGAATTAAAGAGTATGTCAGACAACACGCAGAGGAGTGGCAGAGGAGGCAATGTTTCAGGAGCGAGCAGACGTGCAGCAGCAGAGGAAGGGGTCGAGGCAGCACTAGTCGCAGCCAGAGGCCAGTGCTCCCGGTGTCATCCAGCGGTCGTGTCTCCACCGACAACCCTGCGTCATCGATTGGTTGACTCGGTCGTCTTCCTCTTCCCAGGTCACCTCTGACACCTACAGCCAACGGTCGGTGGGTACGTCAGACACAACCGTTAGTTGGCATGGCCCGGGAGCAAGCCCACTGAAATCACGTGTCCTCTACCTGCCCCTGTCCTTTGGTGTTCCCTCACCAAGCGAAGTATCGCATGCTGTGGGCTCAGCCCCACTGTACAGTGAGGAAGAGCTAACAGAGGGCGGTCAGGAACGGGGGGAGACATCCGCCTCTTCAGCAGCCAGGCGAAGAAGTACTGGCGAGGAGAGTGGCTCGGTAGCCGGTCTAGAGACAGGTCTGTCTCCTGACCCACACGCAGCCGAGGGGGCTAGTAGTGAGGCGGAGACCCTAATTGATGATGATGAGGCTGATCGCACTTGGCAGCCTCGTCGTCATCAGGCTATTGCTTCCGCATCATCAGGAGAAGAGGGTGCCAGCTTGCCAGCGAGCAAAACAGTCGGTGGGTTGCCCAGGAGGAAGCAGGGTCGCAGCAGTGTCAGTGGAGGCAAACGGCCACGGAGTAGAGCACCAGCTCCACTGCAGCCTACCACCACGGACCAGTAGTGGTGCCGGTGTGTGACGGAGGAAGTAGCAGTCAGCCAGTGAGGAGTAGCGGGGGCAAAGTTTCCTACTCGGCGGTGTGGCAATTTTTCGTCAAGCCGCCCGAGGAAGTAAACGTAGCCGTATGTCGACTATGTGGCCAGAAAGTCAAGCGTGGCCAGGGGGCCCATGTTGGGACTACAGCGTTGCGTCAGCATATGCAGCGTCGCCATTCGGTGGCCTGGGAAAACCGTGATAAAGATACGGCGGTTCTGCCTGCCCCAGCCCCCGCTCCATCACCCGCTCCGTTACTTGCTCCGTCACCCGACGTCAATCGCCCTCTATCAGCCAGTCAAGGCTCCAACACCTCTGCTGAGGGGAGTTGTCGCTCGTTGGCATCTTCCGCTCGTTCAGATGCTCCTTCTCCTGCTACTCCTCTTCACGGATTCCGTCAGCAGTCTTTCTTGGAATCCGTTTCCAAGAGACAACAGTTTGCGAGCACGCACCCCGACGGTGCAAAAGCTGAACGTCCTCCTGTCCAAGTTGCTGGTGCTGCAGTCCCTCCCTCCCTTTCCAAGTGGTGGACTCAGCACCTTTCCGAGAAATGATGGCTTGTGCCGAGCCGCGGTGGAGAGTGCCAAGCCGGCATTTCTTCGCCAAAAAGGCAGTGCCAGCCCTGCATTCACATGTAGAAGAGATGGTGGGCCAGTCTTTGAGCATGTCGGTCTCTGCCAAAGTGCACGGCAGCGCCGACGTGTGGAGCTGTAACTACGGTCAGGGGACAGTACATGTCATTTACGGCCCACTGGGTGAACGTGGTGCCGGCACAGCCGCACCAGCAACTTGGACAGGTCACGCCGCTTTTGCCTCCACGTTTGCACGTCCTTGGTCCAGCAAAGATGTCCGCCTCTACCACCTCTTCTTCCGCCGTGTCCTCAGCCGCCACCCCCGTGCCAAGTCCCATTACCCGACCGGCATATCACATGTGCAGGGCGCAACGGTGTCACGCTGTGCTGCACCTGGTATGCCTTGGCGAACGTAGTCACACAGGGGAGGAACTTCTGAGTGTAATGAACAGAGAAATCGACAGATGGCTGTCTCCGCGCAAACTGAAAATCGGAACCATGTTGACCGACAACGGAAAGAACATGGTGTCTGCTCTGCGTCAAGGAAGGTTGTGCCATGCGCCATGCATGGCTCACGTGTTCAATCTGGTTGTCAAGCGGTTCCTAAAATCCACCATCCCACTGCAAGACATCCTTAAAATGTCACGTAAACTTTGCATGCATTTCAGCCATTCCTACACCGCAAAGCACACCCTCCTTGAGCTGCAGCGGCAGAACGGAATTCCACAGCATCGCCTGATCTGCGACGTTGCAACAAGGTGGAATTCAACCCTACATATGTTAGACCGCCTTTACGAACAGCGAAAGGCCATCACCGATTTCCTGATGTTACAAGCGGATAAAGGTACTCCCCTGTGTAACTTAGATGTCAGCCATTGGCAGCTCATGCGTGACACCTGCCGCTTGCTCAGCCCTTTGAGGAGGCCACGCTATTCGTGAGTCGGCAGGACTATGGGATGAACGACGTCATTCCTCTGTTGCACGTCCTGGAACAAATGCTGTTAACAATGGCTGGTCAGGGTGCGGTAGACGTGGCGCACAGATCTCAACGCCACATGACCCCTGTGGGGGCAGGACAGGAAGAAGAGGAGGAGGTAGAGGAGGACATTGGTGCTCAGGAATTATTGAGTGAAATGGGTGGTTTTTCCACTCAGCGGACAGGAGTGGAGGAGCAGGAGCATCTGGTAGAGGAGGAGGAGACAGAGGACCCAGACGCACCGTGGCAGTATGCTGTGGAGATGGAGGCAGGGAGTCCCTCGCATTCCTTGGCACAAATGGCCCATAGCATGCTCGGTTGCTTGCGTAGCGACAGCCGAATAATAACCATCAGACAGAGGGATGACTTTTGGCTGTCCACCTTGTTGGACCCTCGCTACCGTTCAAAAATGGTGGCCTTTTTCACACCTGCTGAGAGGGAGGCCAAAATAAAGTACTATAAAAACCACCTATGTAGTCAGTTGGTCTCTGCCTTTGTGCGCCAACGTCCATCCTCAGACACTGTGGGCCCTGTGCGCTCGCGTTCCGCTGCCATGGCAGCAGGGGAGGGGTGGGGTGGTAGGAGCAGTGGCAGCTCCACCAGCAGCGGCTGCCTCAGTCTGCAGTCGATGATGAGTAGCTTTCTTCACCAGCGCAGTGAGGAAACTACTAACCAGCCGCAGCAGCAGCAGCATCAGGTGGACCTGGAGCAGGACCTCAAACAACAGGCTCGGGCCTACTTGGACAGCACCCTGCCAACCGAGGTAGACAATCCCCTTGACTACTGGGCAACGAAACTTGACCTTTGGCCCCAACTAGCTGAATTTGCCCTGAAAGGCTGTCATGCCCGGCCAGTAGCGTGGCATCGGAGCGCGTGTTTAGTGTGGCAGGAGGTATTGTAACTCCGCGGAGGACACGACTGTCCACCCAAAGTGTGGAGAGACTCACGTTTGTGAAAATGAATCAGGCGTGGATTAGTCTGGATTTCAAACCACCAGTTCCTGACACAACTGACTAAATCCGCCATGAATCATGCCCCAAACATGTTATTATTTTTAACATAGGCCTCTGTATGGCCTTCAATTTAAGCTGCTTACGCTTCGCCACTCTGCCATGGGCCCCTGTACCGCCTCCTCTTGCTGCTGCCAGGTCCAGTGTGTCATGGGTCCCTGTACGGCCTCCCATTGCTGCTGACTTCATCGCCAGACTCTGCCATGTGCCACTTTCAGGTCTCCTTACACTGTTGGTGGGTTCCCATTTTGTGATAGGGTGCTGTATGGCCTTCCATTGCTGCTGCCTCCACCGCCACCCTGCGCCATGTGCCTCTGTCGTCTGCTCACGCTGCTGACGGCTTCCGCGCTTTTTAACCGAGGCCTGTGTTTGGCTTCCGAATACTGCTGCATCCACCGCCACCCTGCGCCATGTGTCTCTGTCGTCTGCTCACGCTGCTGACGGCTTCCGCTTTTTAACCTAGGCCTGTGTATGGCTTCAGAATAATGCTGCCTACACCGCCACGCTGCGCCATGTGCCTCTGTCGTCTGCTCACGCTGCTGCCAGGTCCATACTGATTCATGGCCCCCTGTACCGGCTCCTCATGAACGTGGTTCAGCGGGTTTGCATCACTTAACGGCAAATCGTTGACAAACGCTGGGACGTTCAGTGTTGTGCGCATTAAGCCAGACACCAAAGGGCAGCACAGACCTGTTATTACTCGCTCAAGCATGGCTGAACAAAACCAGTCTCTACCACAAATTGGACCCAGACCTGCCCAGGGTCTCGTAAAGTAGATTGCACGGAGGAGTAGAGTTCGTTATTGGAATTAACTGTGAGGGACTTTTAAACCTAGGCCTGTGTCTGGCCTTCATTGAAGCTGCTTCTGCTCTGCCACTCTGCCATTGGACTCTTGATAGTCGTCTCCCCACCTGCTGCTGGGGGGACTTTTTAACATAGGCCTCTGTATGGCCTTCCAATTTTAGCTGCTTACGCTCCGCCACTCTGCCATGGGCCCCTGTACCGCCTCCTCATGCTGCTGCCAGGCCCGTAATCTGCCATGGGCCCCCGTACCGACTCCCTATCTGCTGCTGCCAGGCCCGTAATCTGTCATGGGCCCCTGTACCGCCATCCTCATGGGTTCCATTTTGTCATAGGGTGCTGTATTGGCCTCCCATTGCTGCTGCCAGGCCCGTAATCTGCCATGGGCCCCCGTACCGACTCCTCATGCTGCTGCCAGGCGCCGTAATCTGTCATGGGCCCCTGTACGCCTCCTCATGCTGCTGCCAGGTCCAGAGTGTGTCATTGGGTCCCTGTACGGCCTCCCATTGCTGCTGTCCTCCATCGCCACACTCTGCCATGTGCCACTTTCAGGTCCTCCCTCACATGCTGGTGGGTTCCATTTTGTCATAGGGTGCTGGCCTCCTACCATGCTGCTGCCAGGCCCGTAATCTGTCATGGGCCCCCGTACCGACTCCTCATGCTGCTGCAGGCCCGTAATCTGTCATGGGCCCTGGGTTCCATTTTGTAATAGGGTGCTGTATGGCCTCCCATTGCTGCTGCCAGGCCCGTAATCTGCCATGGGCCCCCGTACCGACTCCTCATGCTGCTGCCAGGCCCGTAATCTGTCATGGGCCCCTGTACCGCCTCCTCATGCTGCTGCCAGGTCCAGAGTGTGTCATGGGTCCCTGTACGGCCTCCCATTGCTGCTGTCTCCATCGCCACACTCTGCCCATGTGCCACTTTCAGGGTCTCCTCACATGCTGTGGGTTCCATTTTTTTCATAGGGTGCTGTTATGGCCACCATTGCTTGCTTGCCCAGGCCCGTAATCTGCCTTGGGCCCCAGTACAGACTCCTATGTTGCTGCTCACAGGCCCGTTCAGCATCTGTGTCATAGGGAAGACTGTAAGCGCCTCTCATTGGCTGCTGCCAGGTCCAGAGTGTGTCGTGGGTCCCTGTACTCGGCCTTCGCCAATTGCTGCTGCAGGCACCTAATCTGCCTTGGGGCCACACGTACCTCTGCTGCTGCAGGGGCCCGTATTCTGTCATGGGCCCCGTCTCCGCCTCCTCATGCTGCTGCCAGTGTTCCAGAGGTGTGGCATAGTGGTGTCTGTTTACGGCGCCTTTCCCATTGCTCGCTTGTCTCTCATGCCACGTACTCTGCCTGGCGGAACACTTTCAGGTCTCGACCTCCTCACATGATGGTGCCAGGCCCGTTCATTCCTGTCCATAGGGCCCCCTTGGCTGATTACGGGCTCTACCATCATGCGGCTGCCAGGCTCCGTAATGATCTGCCTTCGGGTGTGTCACTCGCTGTACCGCATTCCTCATCGCTGTCTGTTTCTCCTTCAACACGTATATATGTTCAGTGGGCACATGTACCGGTCTCATCTACAATGCTGGTGATGGTCAGGTTCAGAGTGTGTTCTTGGGGTCCTGTACGGCATCCCATTGCTGCTGCCAGGCCACGGAATTATGAATCTGCCATGGGCACCCGGTACCGACTCATCACATGCTGCTGCCTCAGGGGCCCGTTAATCTGTCATGGGCCCCTGTGTACCTGCCTCCTCATAGTGCGGCTTGGTTCAAAAGTGTGTCATGTGGTCCCTGTACGGCCTCCCAGTTGCTGCTGCTGTCTCCATCGGCCACACGTCTTGCCATGTGCTCCAACTTTCAGGTCTCCTCAAACTGCTGGTGGGGTTCCATTTTGTTCATTTAGCGGTGCTAGCAGATTACGGGCTCATTGCTGCTGCCAGGCCACGTTAAATCTGCCATGGGCCCAAGTTACCGGACTCCTCATGCTGCTGCCAGGCCCGTTTAATCTGTCTTGGGCCCGTGTACGCATTCCTTCTGCTGCTGCCGCGTCCAGAGTGTGTCATGGGTCCCCTGTACGGCCTCCCATTGCTGCTGTCTCCATCGCCACCTCTGCAGGGGTGACACTTTCAGGTCTCCTCAAATGCTGGTGGGGTTTTCCCTTTTTGTCATAGGGTGTGTTTTGGGCCCCCCATTGCTGCTGCCCCCCCCCCACTGTGGTCCACCCCCTCCCGGTTTTTTTCCCCGTGACTGCCCAAATGAGTGAAGTGGCGGTGAAATTTTAAGATGACGGGGACTCATCTGCATGTCATACTGGGCCCGACGATTATTTTTCTTCCCCGCAGACTCCAAAAGGGGA